GGTCGGAAATGGATACCCGAGCGAGAGGAGGTACTCAGCCGTGCGCAGATGCCCACCCTCAAGTGCATCTCTAACGACGTCATCGCGACTGCAGCCTTCGCGTCGGTGGGTCAAGAGTATGGAAACATTCATTTTGGCGATGGGCGGTTTAATTGGGCTGTTGGACGATTTATGGCTTTGCTCTATTGAGAGTTAATATCCTATGAAATCGAATACGGGTCCTGCCTATCAATTACCGAGAGGTCCATGATTGAATTGTATTGCGGGTTGGCGCTCCAGGGCGCAGGAATGGCGCTTGCTTGGCTGTCGACAGCCACTCACTTCGACGTTTCGCCGCGTCGTGCTGCTACCCGCCCCGCCGCACCTCACCGGGTATCCTCCGCCCCGCGCACCCGAAGCTCCGACGCCACGCCGTGCGACGCAGGACGCAAGGCCATGGCCTCTCGCTGCGATCGCCGCAACTGTCGCTGCCGGCGCGACCTAGGCTCAAGAGTGCGTCCGCCACGCTTGACCACCTTCCTGCCAGTGCAGCCAAGCTCCTAGCGCTTGTGTACGCTACCGAGGACGTACGACCGTCCGGTCTGTCCGTGCCATCAATGACGCTGCGCCACGTGCATCCAAGGAAGGACGCGCCGCCGCGCGACGCTGCCAAGATGTCACGCGCTATCGCGTCCGTAGACACCACCGGAGCACGCGACTACCGACTACGGAGGCCAGCGCAGCCTGAGCGGGGTGCACGCGACAGCGACTGCCGTCGAAACGTCCTTGGACACGCTGATGGCTGTTGGTCCCATCACGTCATGGCCAAGGCGAACCCTTTGCCGAGCCTGCGTAGGTGCCTCTGAAGCGCAAGCGCATAGCGTGCAATTAAGGCGAGACCCTTAATCAACAAGTCGTGAATTTGTGCGTTATCGCAGCCGCAGCTTGAAGCACTAGTGGTCGATTTCGAGAACGTGCCAACCGCGAAACGCGATCGTAGGGTCTTCGTGCGAGCGCTGGACTGCGCGAACGACCCAGAGCACTGTGCCGGTGAGGCCGCGCGCGGTATGACCTGTTGACGTGCGCCTACAGGGCTCGCGAGGTAGCCATATACACCAGAGCGCAGAAGGCTCCAATAGGGAGAGCCTTCGGTGCTGCTTCTACCACTGTGCTGCTCGTACTCGTTCCAAAAGCGCGCCAAGAGGATGAAAAGATGACAGTACTTGACACTACATACCAGTAACAACACACACGACGGCGCCATGGTACGGCTGCCGCTGCCCTTCTTGACGCAGCGTCACTCTGGACACGGCGCCGTGGAAGGCACCGTGGCTCGCGTGATCCTCAACCACACAATTACCTTTTGACTGCCAGGTGCAAGATGCTGTCATCCGGCAGGGGGCTCGACTCCAACAGCATGTCCGGATGAGTCCAACAGCCTGCCGGATATCCCGTCCAGCAGCCTCCCAGCATCTTGTCCAATCAGATGCGTTGCCGTTTCCTTAATGCTGCCTTCTGATTGGTCAGCTCTGTCTTCTGATTGGTTGAGCCATAAGACTCCCTGCCAATGAAACACGACAGTCAGGTGCCACCTAAGCGTCGTCATCACGGCCATGACCCAGTCGCCTTGCACGATTTGGAAAAAAAATGTAATAAAATGAATTCCACGATCTTTTCCCTCTCTTTCTTTATACGCCTGTGCCATATAACTAGACATTCCCAATCTAATGGCATTTTGCCAGAGAAACGTGACAACGTCCAAATGCCCACCGGACGCGGCCTTGTCGACAGCATCGACAGTGCAACCAAACGTGCCAAGAGAATG